ACCCATACCCGAATCTTGATCTTGATCCTGATCCCCCTGCTCCAAAATGTGTCACCACTATAGTGCACTATTGTTGGATTAGGTGTCTAAGCCCATAACTATTTTTGGTATGTACTTGATTTAATTATGAGCATGGTCCTTTTGGGTTGCATTCACCATAGCAACTGATAGGATGAATCATGGAGAAAGAGGATTAATTATGATTTATTAATATATTAAAATAATAATATATTAATTGAGAAATCTTATTATTTAATTAGTATTGATCAAAAATTAATTTGGTGATCAAAAGAGACTGATTAAATTAATGGGGACTGATTATGTAAATCGGTAATATTTATAGTTTGGGCTTATGGACCTTATTGGTATAAGGTGGACAAAATCTTTATAAGAGTCCATAAAGATTTCGTCCAAGGCTTGTTCAATGGGAGTCCATATGTTTCTTAGGGCCTAAGCAAAGGGAATTAGGGTTTCATGTTCAATACCTTAGAAGCCTCAACTATAAAAGGACTCCATTAGCTCCCAAAAACGTGTCCAAGAGTTCTAAGAGAACCCTAGACGTTTTTGAAGCCTCCTCCTCCTCCTTCTCTCTCTCTATCTCTCTCTCTCTCTCTTGTTCTTCCTTGTTGCTAGTGGTGTTTGTGACTCCATTAGAGGTGCAACACTTGGGGCAGTAAGCTTTCAAAGGTCAAGGAATTCTTGTTATTACAATATAACAAGTGAGGTAAAGTTTCTAATGCTAATCATATGTGATTTTCGATATATGTATGCTAGTTATATGGTTATTGCTTTGGTATTCATAGTTGTATGTTCAAGTTAGAAAAACCTAGATCCAAAGCAATTAGGGTTGCATGTACACCATATGAATGATGTTATGATCAAAACCTAACAACTGAAATACCATAAAACATACTGATCATGATGCCAAAAGAGGGGATCCTCCCACACCAGTTCTCCTTAGAGCTTCCATATCTAACATTGGTTCAGGTACATGTCCTGTGCTTTCAGTAGTACAAGCCCAATACTACCTTCCACACCTACCTGTACCTTCCCCAAGGATCTACCTGATAAGTCTAATTCGTCCCAAAACAAATCATATCTCACAGGCTACCGCATAGCTCAAATCCTAGGTTATCCTAAGATTTACTCCATCCATATCAAACCAGAAGTCAATCATAACAGGTTGCCTTATACATACAAATTATTCACAGAATAGGATCAAATAGAATTTTGAAACACCAACTCTACCCTAAGACCATAACCAGACAAGGAACAGAAAATAAGGCCAAATCAATCATTTTGAGGCTATAAGACCCCAACCGTATACATTTTCGAAAGAAGACACATAGCACGATTCATACGATTATCATAACTCAAATATCAGTATACCATGGCTAACATATTGGGGAACTGATTACTTGGCTCGACCGATCACGCGCATTGCACTCTCCTCTTTTCTATTTTAAGAAGTTTTTAACTTTTATTTCTGAAAACAATTTTACCATTTCCTTAGTTTGAGTCATGACACACTCGAGAGTGTGTCCGAATCCCTCAAACCAAGGCTCTGATACCAACTTGCAACAACCCAAATTTTCAAATAAATTTTCATTTTTAATTAACTAAAACATTCCCGTAAAATATGAAGTAACAATGACAATTATTTTCAAAATCCATAACATCGACATTTTATTGCAAACATCACAGTGTCCCATCAAATCAAATGCTGAAGAGCGTATGTCGTGCTATCAAGCCTTGCGCTTTCCCTTAGGCTCAAATGTACCTAAAACAAAACAACAAAATGTAAGCTAATGCTTAGTGAGTTCCCCAGAGCATACCCTACACAGTCCACATAATCACATAGATCATATTAGCTATAAAAGCTACATAAACAATATAAGCCATGCATAAAACATATAGGGATGACGTAGGCTCCCCCCAGGGTCTTACTCCAAGATGCCATGGGCTCCCCACATGGTCTTACATCCAAGTGCCATGGGCTCCCCATAGTCTGTAATAGGAAAGCGATGGGCTCTCCATATCATCTTACATCTAAGTGCCATGGGGTCCCCCATGGTCTTTCATACAAGTGTACCACATATACAACTAGCATACCTACTAGCATATAATCAACAATGATGCCACATAACACTACATCAACTGGTGTACCACATATCATAAAATGGGCCAGCCTTGGTGCCTTCGACCTATTGGTATGGTGAGGAGACTCACATTCTCAAGAATGCTGAACTGATAAGATAAGATTGGACAAGTCCCAACGCGCAGCTCCAACTCAACTGCCTACAATCATCATTTGACTATTTTTGTCAAAATTTTGAAATACCAAAAATACCCTTAAGGTCAAACTTGGTCAAAGTCCAAGTCAACAGTCCATGTTGACCCCAACTCATCGAGAGCATCTAGCAACTCGTCGAGCTCCTTTAGAGTCCAGAAAACCGGGACAAACCCTAGCCAACTTGCCGATTTGCTTCATCAACTTGTTGAGTGCACTCAATATCTAGTAGACTGGGAAACCCGATCCAACTCATGGAGTTGCCAGAGCAACTTGTCGATTTTTACCCCCTGTTTGCTCATTCAGAGGATACGTTGATTGCAAGGACTATATGGCTTAGATATGAAATCTAAATGTGTCGAGAAGGATAATGTTTCCAACTTTATCCTCTAGAACCACTCCGAATGCTCGAAAGCTCGAAAGCTTAGCCATATGGTTCAAGACTCTAGAGATCTGGAATCCCTCCTTTCCAGAATAGGTTCTAATCCTCAAAACGTTCCAAAGATGGAGACTTTATGGACATACATGTCTAATGCATGTCTTGAAGTCAAAATGGCCAAAGAGGGAAAATATACCCTAAAATCTAGATCTATCCCACCATGTACATGCTTGACCAAAAGCTAGATCTAGCCCACTATGGGACCATTTTTGCCCTGTAGATTCATAAAGTTGAAAACTTTATGAAACCCATGCATGTAATTGACAAGAATGATAGGAAATGAAGAGTAAACTCAAGATCTAGCCATACTCTAAGATAAAAATCAAATTTTGAGTGCTTACAATAGTCCACAAGATGGTCAAGCTCAAGAGTGAGGACTTTGTTTGTTGGTCTTTTCCGTTTTCTTACTATCTTCTTCTTCTTAAGCTCCAAAAGTCACTCTAGCTCACAATATGAAAGACAATAGAGATTAGGATTTTGCATTGACGTTCTTAGGGTTTGGAGACTGATGGAAGGTCAGCCTCAAGGTTGTAAGGAGATTATATAGGGTGCAAACCCCTAAAAATTAGGGTTTTCCTTTACAACGCCTACTCGTCGAGTTGGGCCTTCCAACTCGTCGAGTGGATCCTAAATCCCGCGTCCCACAAATGATCTCTACTCAACAAGTTGGAGCTCCCCAACTCGTCGAGTTCCAGTCTAAAACCCTAAAATTTTGAAAAGTAATTGATACCTGAAACAAGCATTACAGATCAATACTCAAACATCCCAAACACACCAAATTATTACTCAAGCCAAGAGTTTATGAATTTGCTACAAGGAACACTAATTCAATAACAACCAATTTTCAACAATTAGCAACTCCCATACTAACATCTCAACCTTAACAAATATTAACAAAAACCCAATACATTCCAACAAAACCTCTTTCCACAATCCTCATACCAATAAAACTACCCACAACCCAACCCCAATCAATATCAACAAAACCCATTCCAATACTGGCAACCACAACCTTCACAACCAATCAATATCAACAAAAACCCATTCCAAGACGATGGCATAATTGTTGCCGAAACTCAAGAACCCAAAAAAGCACCGCGAAAGAAAAATAAAATGACGATTCTCAACATTCGAAAAACTAAAGTGGAATGATGAAGAGGAAGCGACTTTGTTGCAAGCTTGGATGTCGGTCTCCATCTATTCTAGAAAAGGCAACAATCAATCTACTTCAGCTTTTTGGAAGCAAGTTTTAACACAATTCCATAATATAATTGGTAAGTGCATTTACCAGAGAAACGACGACCTAAACGAAAAATGGCGTGAGTTAAGGCTAGCTTGCACAAGCTTCAACGACATATTTAATAATCTTCAAAATATGTGTGCTAGTGATAGAAAAGATTTCAACATTGTGAGTACGTTGCTTGAAACTTATAAAAAAACACAAAGGAAAAACATTTTCACATCAAAAAACATGGTGCGTATGTCGTAAGGGGCCAAAGTGGGTCCTTCAACCGAATTCAACTTCGCAGTCTAGTGGATCAAAACAGTCAAGAACATCGAAATCGAACGCCGGATCGTATGATCCTAGACATGATAAACGAGTCGGATCGTATGATCCTAGACATGAAAAACGAGTCTGATCGTATACGGATCATATTTGGGGTATGATCGTATGATATTCGTAGGTAGGATCATAAAATCGAGATTCGATTCGATCCTACCTTCCATTGATTTTTTTTTGAAAAAATAAATTACCACTGTATGTCTTTTAGTATTTATTAGTTTACCGTTTATCATTTTGTATTATGAGTTGTGACAAATGTTTTGAAGTTTTTATAATTTTTGAATTAAAAACCAAATGTTTGAGATATTTTTTATGTTTTAAAATTATAAGTTAAAATTATGTTTTATTTTGAAGGATTCTAGGATCCTAATCCTAATTTTACGATCCCGGTCTTATATTCCCAAAAACCATCGTGATCTTAACAATCTTTACAGGTATAAATTTCAAAAGAATTGTTATGGGAGGGGAAGAGAGGGAGTGATAGTGATGTGGAAAGTAAGTAGTTGCACTGAGCCTAACTTCCATTCTTGCATCGTATCAAAAGTTATGTTGCATCAAAATTCTAAATGGTTTTAAGAAATTTATAGATCATATATCTTTGTAATATACAAGTTCCCCGAAAAAAGGGTCGAAAAGATCTAATGATTTCTGATAAGTAATCTATTTCCGTGATTATTAAGACTACGAAGTATAAACTATACATTAGATTACATACTTGTTAATAAGCTCTTTTTATCTTGCGAATAATTCTTAAAAGAATCTAAATCATGGACAGCAAGAGACTTCATGCTAGCTTTTGCTCCATGACCGATTAATAGCATCGCCACCTGAACATGCCCTCCCTCCACCGCCCTATGAAGCGGCGTGTACCCACTACCATCCACCACATCCACCCGACCACCATGATTCAGCAACACCTTCACCCCTTCAAAACAACCCTTAAAAGCCGTTTTATGCAACGCCGTCCACCCATTCTGATCCCTTCCGTTCACCTTCGCACCTTCTGCTAAACAATTCTTCATTCCATTCACATCTCCTTTTCTTGCTGATCGATGTAAAACATCTCCCAAATGTAACATATCGTAAAGATCTGTATGCTCGTTTTCAACTGCAAGATCGAATGCAGTCTTTCCTTCTTTAGTTACCGCATATTTCACATAACTGATACAGTTTAGCAGGAATTCAACCGCTTCTGAATGACCTTCCATGGAACAGCAATGGAGGGCAGTCCAGCCGTTGTGATCGGCTAAATCGGGGTCGCTTCCTAAAGTAATCAAGAACTCAAGTACTTCAATATAGCCATGACATGCAGCAACATGAAGAGGTGTTTGACCTTCTGAATCAATCGAATTCACATCGATATCCAAGTAACCCATACACAAAACTTCCATTAAATCCACCCGGTTTAAAGAAGCTGCATCGTGCAAGAGTCGGTCATTTCGATGATCAATCACACAATCAGACTCCATCAAAATCCGAACCGTGTCCAGATCTCCAGATCTGACAGCCAGCGACATCACGGAAACACCATCGGAATCCCGGTTGTTAACATCGGCTCCGGCGTCGAGCAGAGAGGAGACAACGTAGGACTTCCCGTTCATAGCAGCGGATCTCAGTAAGCAAGTGAGCTGTGACTCTTCGCACAACGAAATGGCTTTTGATAAAGTAAATGCGATTTCTAGGGTTTTGGAAGAGGAAGATGAGATCAGGTGTTCGATTACGTGAGTCCCAACAAAGGAGATCGGAATCGTGACGTCCTTAAAGATATGCGGGCCATGTTTGGAGAACAGTCTCCGGAGATCTTCCTGGTTGGCTTTTCCGGTGGGCAGCATGGATGACCGGACAAGAACGTTGTCCGGTGGGGTCGAGAGCGGCGGATGATCGGACGGTTTAGACAGGATGAGAGTGAAAGAAGCGGTACCGAGAGGAGGAATGATGGAGAATTGGTGAATGAAGGAGAGGAGCGATGGGTTTGTAGTATTGAGAGAGACAGCAACGGACATGGTGTGCATGAGATTGGTTAATCTGAAGGTTGTAGAACACTTCTGACCTCTGGTAAACACCATGTTCACCTCCTTCACATCTGCTTTAACCAGTCTGTCCATTATTGCCTTAATTCAGGCAACTTCTGAATCTTCTTTACCTCTGATCAGAATAAGAAAGATGGAAATGGGAGTTTCTTTCTTTCTTTCTTTATTACATCATGGTCATTATCTTATGGACAATAGTTTAAGTTTAATTTTTGAATTAATAATCATCATCATAGAATAATATAAAGATATATGGTATGCACTAGTTTGACATTTAGGAAGATGGTTGGAAGAAGGAGAGCGATTGCATACAGAAATTAAATTCAATAATCTAAAAGAAGTAGGTACTATTATGACATATTGAAGAAAGACTTTAATAGTAATTTTAGAAGCACATTACTGACTTTCCTAAAATCAAAGAAGATTATGGAAATACTTGTTGTGATGAAACATGATAACTAAAATACATAATGAACAATTAATACAAGAATACTTTTTGGGGTAGAATTATTGAGAGTGGACCACTAGAAAAGAAATGTGGAAAAACTGTAAGTTAAGACAAACTAATTTGTTATTATATGCATCAATATTACTATACAACGATATACACATATTAATAATATAATAGTGATTGTATTATTTTATATATAATAATAACACAAGACAATAGACATTGAAATTTATTAATGATTCCAAGTCAATCGCCATCAATCGTCAAAGGAAAAGTCTAATCTCATTCGCACCAAAAGAAAACAAAGGATGAAAACGTCCAACGTAGTCCCTACACATGACACAACGATTGGTGGTAGGGAGTTTGAAAATGTCCCTACCCATAAATCATAATTGTTTTTACAACTTTGTCTACTAATAACTACAAGAAAAGAAAAAATAATCAAATCAATTTCATATGCTGGCATATAACAAATTATAAAAAAAAGGTTTACCTTGTATATTTCTACTGCAAGATAGCCCCGAGAAACATTACTATTTGTCTTTTACTTTGCAGGTGAAAGAGGATTCGAATAACAGGTTAAAATTATCAAAATACCATAAACCCTGAATTGATGTAAGTAAAAGCACCATGTTTTTACTTTGTGTAAAATAATCAGTACAATAATATCCAATGTTGTAACGTGATATTTCTGTTACTTGTGTCTGTTATTGAGTTGAAGACTTTGAAAGCCGTGACATGGTAACATGGTATTTTTCATAATGTGCAACCGAAAGAGATCAACCGGATAAAGTGATATTCGAATTTGCAAAAGAAAACAAAATTAGGGTTTTACCTTAATATTTATAATTTGTAACAATTGATCTAAAAATTGTCTTAAATTTCAGGAAATATGTAGTTTACCTGAATGCCGACATAAACATACTTTGTATTGTATCGTAAATTCGTAATCCTTGAGTTCTAGGCATTAAGTGTCTTTAGAAGTGGACATGGGCCAGGCGTCAATACCCGAGCCCAACAGTCCAGGCTAAACTCCGAGAAAAAGTATGGTTCACCAATTTGTTCAGTTTGATCTAATCTAAAATTCCAATGGTATCAGGGGAATTGTGTAATTTTCATTAATTGAATTGAATAACAATATATGCTTAAATAGAAAAGTCAAACAACTAGGCTGAAAATCAGGAAGCGATAAGTGATAAAGATAAACAAAATATACGATAATTACATTATCCGATACTCCCCCTCAAGATGGAGCGTGTAGGTTCTTAACGCCCATCTTGCCAAGCAGAAATTGAAGTTGATTTGTACCAAGACCTTTTGTCAACAAGTCAGCAACTTGCATTTTGTTGTCAATCTTCATTAACACGACTTCTCGAGAAGCAACCCTCTCACGAACAAAAAAACAATCCATTTCAACATGTTTTGTTCGTTCATGAAACACTGGATTGTTAGCTATATGACGTGCCGCCTGATTATCGCAAAACAATGTGGTTGGCGAGTCAATAACAACTTGCAAGTCTTTTAAGAGCCATCTAACCCATAAGACTTCACTTACTGTGGAGGCCATAGCTCGATATTCAGCTTCAGCGGAAGAACGCGACACAACTGATTGTTTCTTTGTTTTCCAAGAAATCGGGGCACCTCCAAGCATAAGTAAGTAACATGTTCTGGAACGTCTCGTGTATGGGCATCCGAGCCAGTCAGAGTCGCAGAAAGCTGTCAACACTGGTTCTCCAGTTCATGGCAAAAGTATTCCTTGCCCCGGTGTTCCCTTTAGATATCTTAAGACTTGAATCATGGCTTGCATGTGACTATGTCGTGGATCAGATACAAATTGACTCAACACATTAACTGCATAGGTAACATCAGGACGTGTAGCTTGGAGATAAAAGAGCTGACCTACAAGTCTGCGATATTGAGTAGCATCAACTTGAGCTTCTTCTTCTCGTCGGTCTAGCTTTAAGTTTTGTTCAATGGGAAAGGAACTTGGTTTACACCCCAACATTCCACTATCTTTGAGAATGTCCAAAACATACTTCCTTTGACTCAAAACCAAACCATCTGAAGTTTTTGCCACTTCTATACCAAGGAAGTACTTTAAAAGTCCAAGGTCTTTGATACTGAAGGCTTTGTCGAGTTGCGTTTTTGTTTGTTGAATTCGGTCTAAATTGTTTCCAGTTATAATGACGTCATCCACATAAATCAGAATGGCAATGTAACTGTCGTCATGATCTTGTAAAAATAGTGAGTGATCGGCTTTAGATTGACGAAAATTTATGCTCAAAAGAAACTTAGTAAACTTGTGGTACCAATTTCGAGAGGCTTGCTTTAGCCCGTAAATAGATTTCTGTAGACGACAGACACGAGTCTCATTTTCTTTAGAAAAACCTTGAGGAATTTTCATGTACACTTCCTCATCCAAATCTCCATGCAGAAAGGAAGTGTTGACGTCGAGTTGGTGTATGAACCAATTTTTCTTGGCAGCAACTGATAGAAGAGTGCGCACGGTAACTAGCTTTGCAACTGGTGTAAAGGTGTCATGATAGTCAACGCCTTCCAGTTGAGTGAACCCCTTTGCTACAAGTCGAGCCTTGTATCGTTCTATCTCGCCATTTGGTTTATACTTGATCTTATAAACCCATTTTGAGTCAATTGCCCGTTTGCCCTTTGGTAGGTCGGTAAGAGTCCACGTTCCATTTTTTTCAAGGGCTCGAATTTCTTGTTGCATGGCTTGTTGCCAACGTTCATCCTGAGAAGCTTGGTTAAAAGATCGTGGCTCATCATGTAAAGTGATGGCCGTTAGGTAAGCTTTATGATTTTCGGAAAAACTTTCATATGAAACAAAATTAGAGATAGGGTGTACCGTTGAGGCTTCTTGATTGGAGTCGGGCTACTGGTGGTTGATCGAATGGGGGAGTTTGACAACAAAGTCCTTGAATTTTTGTGGCTGTGATTTCGTTCTGGTGCTTCTGGTAACATCCGGATTCTGTGGTTCATCATTTTGTGCAGGTTGATTTGTGGGCTCGGTTTGATTCGTGGGCTCGGTTGGCTCAATATCCGAACTCGTTTCTGCGCTATTGGGCTCACTCCATTGAACATCCTCATGACTATGTTCGTCTTGGAGATTGACGGAAGCATTAAATTCGTCATGAGATGACTCGTTTGTGGGAATGGATTCCAATGTTTGATTGGCTGGGTGCTTTCCATAACATGTGTCATCATGGTATTTTACCGGTTCTTCATCTTCACTGTATTGATTGGCTTCAACATTCCTGAATGGGAAAACGTCTTCACAAAACAACACATCCCTACTAATGATGATTTTATGTGCTTTGATGTCATAAACTTTGTATCCTTTTGTTCCTTGTGGGTAACCTAAGAACACACCGGGCCTTCCTCTTTCCTCAAATTTGCCCCCCTTTGTATCGGTATTTCTGTAATAGGCTAGACAACCAAATATTCTCATGTGATTGTAAACGATTTCGTAAGGGGTTTTATTTTTAATAACTTTGGAAGGGAGACGATTAATTATATAAGCTGCCGTTAGAACGCATTACCCCCAAAATCTTTTTGGAAGATTGGCTTCAAAACGGATTGCTCGAGCTGTTTCAAGTAAATGTCTATGTTTTCTTTCAACGACACCGTTTTGTTGCGGTGTGTGTGGACAAGTCGTTTCTAGCAAAATTCCTTCTTCGTGGTAAAATTGAAGCATAAAGTTGGAGGTGAATTCTCCACCATTATCGCATCTAATTCTTTTGATGTGTTTCTCAAATTGAACTTTCACCATTTTGTGAAAATCAACAAGGAACTTACTAGCATCACTTTTATACTTAATAAGAAAAACCCACACAGCCCTACTAAAATCGTCAATAATGGTAAGGAAGTAGTTGGACTTAGTGTAAGATGGTACCCGATACCCGCCCCAAATATCACAATGAATCAAATCAAAAACTTCTTTGGTTTTAATAGAACTAATAGGAAAAGGTGTCTGGGAAAGTTTTGCCTTTGCACAAGAATCACAAATTTCGTTACTAAAATTAATAGAATTACTTTTAGCTAAATCGATTCTAGAGAGTTTCTCTTTTGAAGCGTGACCCAGTCTTTTGTGCCAAGTGTCTGCGATAGTCACCATAGCCTTTCTACCCTTGGTCATCCCCATTCGATACAACCCTCCATGGTGTCTACCCGCTCCAATCAAGTTCCTCGTTTGTAACCCCTGCATTACACAAAAATCAGGAAAAAACGTTACTGCACATTGGAGATCATTGCTTATGCGACTAACGGAAAGTAGATTGCAGTTAAATTTTGGAACACATAGGACTCCATTTAATTTTACTCCCCCTGAGATAGTACAGTCGCCTCTTCCTTCGACAGATGCAGATTCACCATTCGGTATGACAACAGGAGGCTCAAAAAAAGTTCTCTTCTTATTTTCGAGCAAGTCGGGTAAATATGTTAAGTGGTCGGTGCTACCTGAATCAACAATCCAATCATCTTCATTACCCCTTTTACCTGTCATATTAGCAACGCGTTCTGTTACATTGTTGCCGTTGGTGCTAGAAAAGTGCTTTAGGAACATTTGGTATTGCTCGTTTGTCAACTCAAGTATTGGGCTCGACTCCGG